AAGACACGTGTGAGGCTTGAAAAATAGAAGGAAAATGCTTGCCTTAAGCTTAGGAAAAATGGCTTAGAAATTTAGAAAATTATGATGTAGAAATTCGTACGGCCTTATTAGCATTAAGATGTGATTAATGTTTAATTAATCACTTAATTATACTTAATTAACTTTTAAGCATAATACTTAATTACCAAAATTATTCCGAACGTAAATGGTACGTCAAAAATAATTTCGGACAACTTCGACTGAAAGTAATTAATTCCGAAAATTAATACTCGACAATATTAATATATCGGAACTAAACCATAATTTATACTAAAATAACAGGATATTACAAAAAGTCTGCGTTCCAAGATCTAACAGGACAATCGCCAGAAAATCGTATAAAAATACCCAGAAAATCTGATGAACATGTAAAAAATCCAAGCACAGCACCCAAAAAAGCCAACAAAAAAAAAATCGCACATAACGGTAAATCGAAAGGCGAAGAGAACTTACTCATACTCATGATGGTTGATGTAGAACGCTGGAATGAGAAAAGAGCGCCGGAAAGCTTGAGGATGATGTGTTTGCCGGAGAAGGAGAGTTCAGAAAGATTGAAGGCGAAAAAGTGAAGAAGAAAAAAAGGGAGAATACTTATAGGGGAAGTGGAGAAAACCCTAGCCCTCAGATTAAAGGCAAATTCAACGGATGAGATGGCGCACGGAATACGAAGCGGTGGAAAGAGAAAGCGTCTTATCAAAGCTCAAGACCCCATTTTTGAATTTTGAAATAAATTAAAAAAAGAGAGTGAAAAAAGATTCAGACTTATCCAACCAATTCGAGATCTGATTGGGTAAACAAGTCGCTTTACGAGTCGAAATAATAAAGTAGACATGGCATAGAGCAAGGACGGGCGACATGGCATATGAAAAGATTCAAGACATTCAGTCGAAAAAATCTACTCGTAAGCTCAGAGTCGCTTCGAGTAATTTTGGGGGGGACTAGATGATATAACCATACTATCATAGAGCGGTTTATGTTGTCCCGGCTCGGACATTGTCGAGTCGACTCACCCGAAGTCGACTCCACCCACATATATCCTCGTGATAATACATTCGTTCGAAGGTCCAGATGCTTTTCTTAGTCGACTTCTACCATGTCGACTAGCCTAAGTCGATTCCGTCTGGAAGGATGAACAAGTATGAGGATCTACTAGCAATTGGGAAATAACCGAGCCGGCTCGAATACAAGATATCTCGAAGTCGACTGAGGTAATCTCAGAGTTCATGGACTCCTGACGACTCCAATACACTTCAATATATCAGAGGGAAGCTATTAAAGGATAAGGAAGAATCTAGATGCTGACTAGGAGGTGGACAGAATGTGAACCGACCAGGGTATTTTGGACATTTCCAGTAAGTCGGCTAGGGCATTTTGGGGACTTCAGGTAGATGTTTTACTTGTATATAAAGGAGCTGAGGTAACTCCAAAACCCTAACTCCCATTCATTCTACATTCTTCTCCATTACTGCTGCTGCTTTCCCAGAGCATCTCTCTTCATCTCTTTCACATACTGACTTGAGCGTCGGAGGCTCTACGCCGGAAATCCCTCCGGCGTTGAGTTCTTGCAGGTGATCTCGCGGTTCGATGGCAGTTTGGAGGCCATCAAGATAGATCCGAGCTCATTCCCATCGGTTCATTCCAGATCTGGGCTGTTTTCCACCGGTTCATTCCAGATCCGAGAGTAGACCCATCAAACATACTTTAAAATTTAATTATGGTAAATTTCAATTATGGTAATTGCGGCTGAATAATTAAGGAAATAATAAACGCATAAAAAATTCAGTTTTTAGATCCCTTAAGTACTCAAATAGTAAAATTTATGTTATCTTTTAAAAATCAATTATGGTAATTGCGGTTGAATAATTGAAGAACTAATAAGCACATCAAAAATTATTTTTTAAGATCCCTTAACTACTCAAATTGTTCTCTGAATTAAACAAATAGTTAACCCATAGTATTATTCCAGTTAATTGCTATTGAAATTAAGATTCATTAACTTATGTTTGATGATTAGATTGTGATTATATAATATCACCAAAACAGTAAATTGATTTCATTGTTTATGTTTAAAAATTAAATGCAAGGCTACATAAATAATTGATTTACTTTAAATAAGGTTTGTATTTACTTGAAAAAAAAAAACTAAAATCCTGCCTAAATTTTTAAAAGTTACTAATCTTGATAACTTTTTTCGCATTTAAAAAAAAAACATATAACAAATTCATTTTTTAGATCCCTTCATTACTCCAAGCACACAATTTATGGTGTCTTTTAAAAATCAACTATGGTAGTTGCGGCTGAATAATTAAAGAACTAATGAATAAGCAGATAAAAAACTATTTTTTATGAACCCTTAACTATTCAAATCGTGGCTCTTAATTAAGCAAATAGTTAACCCATAATATTATTACAATCTTTATATATATAAAAAGGTTTGTATTTTTCTAAAATATTAATTGAAATCCCGCAAAAAATTCAATTATACCTTTATTAGTAAGTTTTTTCGAAAATATTTATTAGTTGCATAAATTTAGTATATTGACAAAATTTGCTCCTATTACCATTATTAATTGCATGATATAAATTTGGTATATAACATATTAAAAAATATATTTAAAATTAATAATCAAATAAACAATTATTCATAACTTACGGGTCAATATTTATTTATAGTTTAATAAGTTACTCAACTACTTAAATTTTTTAATTTAGATAGTTTATTCAAAAATAAATTCATTTTAATTAATGGAACAATATAATTTTATATTTATACTTATTATTCACATACATTTTTAAATATATGATAAAATTTTATCAAAATAATTATTTTATGGAATCACATTATAGTCAAACTGAATTTCTGAATAAAAATTTTGAAATCACACTTATTTTGAAATGAATATAATATAATTTACCATCAGGTATGTGAACCACACGAGTTGTGTACTAATTTTAAATAGACATTTTTATATAATTTTGCACAAATTAAATTTATATATAACATTTTTAGTAAATTAATATAGGTAAATTTTATTACATATTGATTTCATATTTTTAATTTGTAAATATTATTTAATGAAAATTTTTAATTTGTAAATATTAATGAATATCTTCTACCCGTGCATCGCACGGGATTCATACTAGTATATTAAGCATTTACTAAAAAGTAGTATTTAAACAACTTAATCTAACAAATAAAGTTCTTAATAAAGAAAAATTGTTATCCTTTTTATTAGTTGTATACTTTTCTCGGTTTTAACACTTTGATCCATCCCTTCCTCTCCCATAGAGGCTTTTACCCGCTCGTAGACTGATATATTACTTTAAAATGAATATAATATAATTTATTATTTGTTACGTGCACCGTATTGGTTGTGTATTAATTCTAAATAGAAATAATTTATATAATTTTACACAATTTAAATTTCATATAATATTTTCAATAAATTATGTATTACATATCAATTTTATATTATTAATTTTACATATTATTTAACGAACTATTTTAATTTATAAATATTAATAAATATCTCTTGCACGTGAATCGCACGGGATTCATACTATTTGTAAATTAAATAAATACAGGATAAGAAATGTGAAGTCCAAATAGACTCAATATATATATGTCAGAATCAGAAGACCGCTTGTTTACATTTTCTACAGTAAATATCTCACTCAAAACTCAAATTTAACTCACTTTAACTCAACCCATTATCTCCAATATCACCAATATAATCAAATAATATCAACCAATCATTATTATACATCACATCAACTTTAATTCACTATTCATCCACTCACATAATTTTAACTAATTATCACTTTCAATCATTTTCTCATTCTTTTACATCAAATCAACTTTAATTATTGTAATTTAAATATTATTTTAAAATATCAACTAACAAATCATACTACTTTTCTTCAAACTTAACTATAGTTAAAAATAAACTAGTTTTTTTTACTAGTTGAATTCATATACAATCACCTCTTACTCACTATGAACACTTTCATGGATGATCAATTATAATAGTTTGTGTAGTTTATTCTAAGTCAAGTCAACCCGATCGAGGGTACATTGGCTAATAATTCAGACAATTATTCCACAAATGACTAAACACGCATTCAAGTATTCACGATCACATCTCCTTCATGGGAAATTTAACATTTAAATTTTGGTCAAGACTATGAGTATCACTAATTAACAACCTCTTTCATAGATGTTGAAATGAGTGAATCAAAAACTCGTTCCTTAGTTTCTGTAACAATGGGTACTGGGTGTCAAAAATATAAATACACCTATTTAATCATAAGTTTAGTAAATAATTTCTGACTAAAAACATAAAATTAAAGTTACACTAAAGTAAAGCTTATTTAGACTAAAGTGCTTATTCAACATTACAAGAGGAACACAACCAAAAAAAAAAAAAGAAAGGTTTACTTGGAGTCAAGTCAATGCAAGTGCAAGTACTTTTTGGTAATCGGATTTCACTATCATTCATGACAACTAACCATATATGCGAAATCATCATAAATGGCTATATAATAGAGCCTTATGGTTAAATATACTACTACCAACATCTAGCGAGCTTTCCTATACTTATTCTCAAGCCTATATCCAATCAATATATATGTGTGTGTATAAAATGGAGAAAATGGTGTTCTCTTCAATGCTCCTCCCCGTCATCTTCTTCTTCTTAATAATGTTTGAGCCCGCTATATTGTGTCTGTCATCAAATAATAATTTTACTTTTAATGATTGCATTCCAAGGGAGAGGATATCTCTCCTGAGGTTGAAAGCAAGCCTGTTGGATGGGTCTAACGGGCTTTCTTCGTAGAATAACACCCGATACAAATGTTGTAACTGGCAAGGCGTAAAGTGTGATAAAGCGACTGGGCATGTTATCGGGCTTGATCTCAGAAATCGAGTTCTAGATAATTATGGGGACCCGAGCTCTGATAGCATGTTACAAAGTGAAACACTTGATTCTTCCTTGCTTGAAATGAAGCATCTTAAGTACCTTGACTTGAGTGGGAATAATTTCAAGGACAACTTGATTCCATCATTCCTAGGATCATTAAACAAACTGCAATATCTCAATCTCTCAAATGCAGGCTTTGGATGTGTTATCCCTCACCAGCTCGGCAACCTCCCAACCTTGTGTGCACTTGATCTTGGTGGACTGTTATCTTCTCTAAGAGTCGACAATCTCATATGGGCTACTAATCTTTCATTGCTGGAGTCCCTTGATATGTGTCATGTCAACCTTAGCACCACAAAAGATCACCTTGCGACGGTACTCAGTACACTTCATTCTTTAGAAATATTAAGCTTGTCACATAGCGGGCTTGATAACACATACCTACCTCATACTAGTTGCTTAAATTCCACGCTATCTACTAATATACAACACAAAGAGTTGAGTAACAATCTCTTTAAAGGAGGCATTCCATGCTTTCTCTGTAACATGACTTCATTGCATTTTCTTTATCTTTCTTCCAACCAATACACCTCATTGGACCCTCATTTTCTTCTGTCGAGAAATCTTCAATATCTCAACCTTGAAGGTAACTCACTTAATTACAGCACAGATTGGATCTCTGATCTGCTGTGGGATAAATGCCACTTGAAATCATTGAACCTAGGGAATAATCATTTTCATTGAGATATCTCGGTATTGAATTAAAAATTTATCGAGATGCTGGAGCCACAACTTGGAGAATTTGGAGTTGTGGAGTAATGATTTTCATGGGCAGTTTCCTAAAGAACTTGGTGAACTGAAGCAACTAAAGGAGTTAGATTTGTCTGATAACAAGTTGACTGGTTTAATCCCAATAAATTTATCAAGATGCTGGAGCCACAACATGGAGAACCTAGAGTTGTGGAGTAATAATTTTTACGGGCAGTTGCCTGAAGAACTTGGCAAACTGAAGCAGTTAAAATGGTTAGATTTGTCTGATAACAAGTTGTCTGGTCCAATTCCAACTATTGTGGGACAACTTTCAGATTTGGAGTGGATTGACATATATGGTAATACCTTTGAAGGTACGCTCATAGAGGCCCACTTTGAGAAGCTATTCAAACTTAAAGGATTTAGGACTGGGTCTAACATGTTAACATTCAGAGTGGGAGATGATTGGACCCCTCATTTTCAACTAAAATCCCTTTATATGTCATCCATTGATATCGGAGGCCAATTTCCACAGTGGCTTTAAACACAAAAATCACTACACTATTTGTATCTATCTAATTGTAGCATTAGAGGCATGCTGCCGAAATGGCTCCATTCCATAAAAAATATGACTGATTTAGACATATCCAACAACCATATTGATGGATCTATTTCAAATCTTCCTTTCAGAATCCAAGTTTGAGATCTATCAAATAACGTGATAACTGGTTCGATATCCCCTTCCTTATGCCAACTAAGAGATTTGTTTTATCGGCGTCTCTCCAAGAATCTATTGTCAGGTCACCTTCCACAATGTTGGGATAACTTATCTTACTTAAGGGTTGCAACATTGTCATCTAATAAGCTTTCTGGGCCCATTCCAAACTCCATTAGTGGAGCTTACTCGTTGGGATGGTTGCAACTGAGTAACAACAGTTTTATAAGGAAACTACCTCCAAATTTGAAAAACTGCACCCAGTTAATGGGTTTGGATATTGGAGACAACAAGTTATCAGGGAAAGTTCCAGAATGGATTGGAAACAATCTGCTTAATCTGGCAATTCTTAGGCTAAGGAACAACAAATTCTACGGAGACATTCCATCCTCTTTCTGTCAGATGTCCAAACTTCAAATAATGGACCTTGCAAACAACCAGTTGACCGGAAACTCTCACGTTGCTTTGGCAATTTTTCGGGAATGGTCCACAATAAAACCGCTCGCGGTGAGTATTCATTCATATAACACTTTCATGATATTATTCGTGTATTCAACATTTCTTAGTTCGTTACTGATGATCTAAGAGTTAGTTGGAGGAAATGAATTTTTTTTTAAATTGTTCATTTTGATCACTAAATCAACTTTTTTTTTTAAAAAAAAAAAAAAGTTAGTCTTGTGGGGTGAGGTAGTTTCCTCAAGTATAAGCCAAAAAAAAAAGATTTATTTTTTTCAATAAAAGGAAGCTAAATGTGACTTGATCGTGACAGTAATAAATAGTAAATTTAGCAGTGATCGAGCAATGATCCAATTTTTTTGTAGCAATTTTTATTACAAGAATAGATATGTAAACACTAGTAAAGACATTGTTTGCACAAAGGAAAATATATATACAAAAAATGTCTGTCTTGTAGCAATTGAAAACTATGGGCTCAATGCATTAAGTGAAGTCTTGAAGGGAGTGGTGCTGGAGTATAGCGAAAATACACGATTCTTGGTCAATTTTGATCTTTCAAGTAATCAACTAGTTGGAGAAATCCCTTTGGAACTGACAAACCTCACTGACTTGATCGGTCTCAATTTGTCTCATAATCATCTAAGAGGACAAATCTCATTGAAGATTGGAGATATGGTCTCTCACGAATCACTTGATCTTTCCAACAACTATTTGTTTGGAACAATTCCAGAGAGCATATCGAAGTTGACCTTTCTGAGTCATTTGAACTTGTCCAACAATAATTTGTCTGGGCGTATCCCGATGGGACCTCAACTTCAAACACTCAACGAAAGTTCGGATTATGAGGGAAACCCTGGACTATATGGGGCACCATTGGCCCAACAATGCGAAGTTAATAGAACATCGACAAAAGGTAAAAATAGTGGGGAGCATGGTCATGATGGAAATGCAGCCGATAAGTTATACCTCTATGAATTTGTAGTTGGTGGTTTTGCCACTGGATTATGGGGTTAATTTGGAGTTTTGATCTTCAAAAAGAGTTGGCGGCAGACACTGTTCGGGTGGATGGATGCTCTGTTGAAAAAAATGATGGGTTGGAGTTAGACTGCTATAGCTTGAGTTTACAAGGGGACTTTGCAACTTTGTATCATATTGAATTGTCCTTTAAGTTGTATCCTTGTGTTTGATGTGATCTTTGGGGTGTGTTTGATGTTGGTGTTATATGTATTGTTTTAAGGGTTATAAGTTTGATGTGGATTTTTTTTTTAAGTTCATTTTTGTATAACTTGTAAAGTGTACGTGTGATGCACGTCATGCATAATATATATAGTTCTTTAGCTTTTAAATTATGCATTTATATATTTTATAATTTATTCATTTTTTTCATCACTATTTTTATTTAATAGAAAATTGTGCTTTGCATAATAATACGTAACAAAATGTTTTCAAAGTTGAAACATAATTTTTTAATCAGAGTAACATTTTAAAGTCACTAGTAAAGTGCACGTGCATCGCACGTGGTGATAAATATTTTTTGCCGACTGAATTCAGTAAAATTAATTGATTATTTAATTAAACATATCATTGCAAGAATGAAGTAAAATGTAGAATAAATGAGCTTCTAATGTTTTTTTTTAAATAACATAATGATGTCCTAATATAAAAAGAATGAAATAACATATTACAACTCCAACAAAAATATAGTCTCTAATGGAAAAAATACTAAACAACTTAATAAGGACCTAACGAATATTATAGATGTATTAGTTATTTTATTTAATTATAATAGATGATTAAAGAGTGATTTTTTTCATTTTGGTTTTGACATTTTCATAAGAAACATTAATACTAGTTGTAGTCCAGTACATCAATAGTGTTGCAAATTTTTTCTTAATTCATTTGACAAAATGTCTACATTATTCACTAACTTATAAATATACGGGCCAAACATATAATCAAACTTCATTATTGTATGATCTTAAAAGGTATTCAATCACCGACTTGTCTGAAAAAAAAAATTTATCATGCCCTGAATGATTTTTTTCAATGTTATTTATTTGGAAGGCAAACAAACTATATAACCTATTGTTTGCAAATCATTGACTATCTTGGTTGTTGCAATAATTTTAGTGTTGTTTATCATAATATCTTTCACTACAGTACTTATGTGCCTAATAACATCTTTAATGTTTTTATTGTCCAATTTTTTTTGCATCATACATAATGCTTCGTAAATTCAAGATAAAGATCCTTTCTTGGAAAAAAAAAATAGCAAAACAACAAAACAAAGCAAAACAATGAGACAATATTAAGAAAGATATCATTAATTAAAATATATGTAAGATAAGAATTAAATTCTATTACATTATGATACTCTTAGTCGCTCTGTGAACTATATTATTACGCAGTTATTATTAGCATTTACGTTATGTATTACAAAGTTTTTATTTTTTTAATTATTTAAAATTCTTGATAATGTAGGATCATATTTATGAGACCTAATTTCTTACGGAGTTCATATATTTAGACGTTAGCAAAAAAGAAAGTAGTAATTCTAAAAGACATTTGTTTCTAGATAGTAGTATTCATATTTCCCTAAGAAAATAAGTACTTTTATTTTTCCTATTGAATTACTATCGTGTATTTTTTCTTATTCTATTTACAAATAATATTTATTTATTAAAAGAACTAGATCACATTTATATGAATTGCGTCATTTTTTTTTTTTTGTACATACTTTATATAATGAAGTTGCAATCAAATATCTTATTTATTAGACTACAACTAATATAATCAAGTAAGATAAATACTATTTAATATTACTTCTTTATTTATTTATAATAATAATATATTTGAAAAAAAATGTACTTTTGTACTGGTTAGAAGATTAAAAAGTTTATGATTTTTTCATAGTTTCATAAAATATTATGTAATTACCTCATTTTCGTATTCGTTAAAAATATATGTTATATGTTACAATAATTAAGGTGTTTCTTTCATGCAATAACTGAATAATTGTTTAAAACATAACTCGTTTATTTCTCATTTTAATTCACATAGATAATGTTGGTAATAGTTGTAAGTTTACATACATTTTGTATGTTTTTCTTATTTGTATGATTAGAACCCTCCTTTCCAACTAAAATCCCTTTATACGTCATCATCCATTGATATCGGAGGCCAATTTCCATATTGGCTTCAAATATAAAAATAACTACACTATTTGCATCTATCTAATTGTAGCATTTGAGGCATGCTGCCGAGATGGCTCCATTCCATAAAAAATCTGACTGAGTTAGACCTATCCAACAACCATATTGATGGATCTATTCCAATTCTTCCTTTCAGAATCCAAGTTTTAGACCTATCAAATAACTCGATGACTAGTTCGATACCCGATTCCTTATGCCAAATGAGAGATTTGTTTTATTTGCGTCTCTCCAAGAATCTTTTGTCAGGTCACCTTCCACAATGTTGGGCTAACTTATCTTACATAAAGGTTGCAATATTATCATCTAATAAGCTTTCGGGGCCCATTCCAAGCTCCATTGGTGGAGCTTACTCGTTGGGATGGTTGCAACTGAGTAACAACAGTTTTATAAGGCAACACCCCCAAAATTTGGAGAATTTCACCTAGTTAATGGGTTTGGATATTGGAGACAACAAGTTACCAGAGAAAGTTTCGGAATGGATTGGAAACAATCTGCTTAATCTGGCAATTCTTAGGCTAAGGTACAACAAATTATACGGAGACATTTTATCCTCTTTCTGTGAGATGTCCAAACTTCAAATAATGGACCTCGCAAACAACCGGTTGACCAGAAACATCTCAAGTTGATTTGGCAATTTTTCGGAAATGGTCCACAATAAAACCACTTGTGGTGAGCATTCATTCATATAACACTCTCATGATATTATTGGTGTATTCAATATTTCTCAGTTCGTTACTGATGATCTAAGAGTTACTTGGAGGAAATGAATTTTTTAATTTATTTATTTTGATCACTAAATCAATTTTTTTTTTTAAAGTTAGTCTTGTGGGGTGGGGGTATTTTCCTCAAGTATAAGCCAAAAAAAAAAGATTATTTTTTTCAATAAAATGAAGCTAAATGTGACTTGATCGTGGCAGTGATAAATAGTAAATTTACCAGTGATCGATCACTGATACAATTTGTTTGTAGCAACTTTTATTACAAAAATAGTTATGTAAACACTAGTATAGACATTTTTTGCACAAAGGAAAATATATATACAAAAAATGTCTGTCTTGTAGCAATTGAAAGATACTATAGGCTTAATGCATTAAGTGAAGTCTTGAAGGGAGTGGTGCTGGAGTATAGAGAAAATACACGATTCTTGGTAAATTTTGATCTTTCAAGTAATCAACTAGTTGGAGAAATCCCTTTTGGAGCTGATAAACCTCACTGACTTGATCAGTCTCAATTTGTCTCATAATCATCTGAGAGGACAAATCCCATTAAAGATTGGAGATATGGTGTCTCTCGAATCACTTGATCTTTCCAACAATTATTTGTTTGGAACAATTCCAGAGAGCTTATCAAAGTTGACCTTTTTGAGTAATTTGAACTTGTCCAACAACAATTTGTCTGGGAGTATTCCGAATGGACCTCAACTTCAAACACTCAACGGAAGTTCGGATTATGAGGGAAACCCTGGACTATGTGGGGCTCCATTGGCCCAACAATGCGAAGTTAATAGAACATCGTCGAAAGGTTAAAATGGTGGGGAGCATGGTGATGATGGAAATGCAGTCCATTAGTTATACCTTTATGACTTTGTAGTTGGTGGTTTTGCCCCTGGATTATGGGGTTACTTTGGTGTTTTGATCTTCAAATAGAGTTGGCGGCAGACTCTATTTGGGTGGATGGATGCTCTGTTGAAAAAAATGATGGGGCGGAGTTAGACTGCTATACCTTGAGTTAACAAGGAGATTTTGCAACTTCGAATCATATTGAATTGTCCCTTTTCAAGGTGTGGTTGTAGTATTTTTTAAGTTGTATGCTTGTGTTTGATGTGATCTTTGTGGTGTGTTTGATGTTGGTGTTATATGTATTGCTTTAAGAGTTATAAGTTTAATGTGGATTTTTTTTTAAGTTCGATGTTGTATAACTTGTAAAGTGTACGTGTGATGCACGTCATGCATAATATATAGTTCTTTAGCTTTTAAATTATGCATTTGCATATTTATATAATTTATTCATTTTCTTATTACTATTTTTAATTAATAGACAATTGTGCTCTGCATAATAAGACGTAACAAAATGTTTTCAAAGTTGAAACATAATTTTTTAATAAATGTGACATTTTAAAGTCACTAGTAAAGTGCACGTGCATCGCACGTGGGGATAAATATTTTTTGTCGATTGAATTCAGTAAAATAAAGTAATTAATTTATTAAACATATCATTGCAGGATAAAGAAATATATAGAATAAATGAGCTTGTAATGTTTTTTTTTTTCTTTTAATAACATAATGATTTCCTAATATAAAAAGAATGAAATAACATATTACAACTCCAACAAAAGGATTTTGCTACTTTGCCACCCTCCATTACAACATGGTTTACAACCATGTGTAATGGAGACATTAAAAATGCAATAATGCACATTTTGCAATGTCTCCATTACACATGGTTGTAAACCATGTTGTAATGGAAGGTGGCTATGTAGCATCACCCCAACAAAAATATAGTCTCTAATGGAAAAAAAAAATCTAAATAACTAAATAAGCACCTAATGAATATTATAGATGCATTAGTTATTTTACTAAATTATTTTAGATGATTAAAGAGTGATTTTTTTCATTTTGGTTTTGACGTTTTCATAAGAAACATTCATACTCGTTGGATCCCAATACATCAATAGTGTTGCAAAATTCTTCTTAATTCATTTGACAAAACGTCTACATTATTCAATCACTTATAAATATTCCGGTCAAGCATATAGTAAAAATTCATGATTGTATGATCTTATAAGGTATTCAATCACCGACT